TTTTTTGTGTTTCTGCCTGGTCTTGTCCAAGGTCTTGCCAGGTGAGGCAAAAAAAAAGCAGCAGGAATTGATTTGTTTCAAATGATACTTTTCTATGCAGTAGGAGTGTGGTTGCTCTCCCTCACCCCCTCTGTCTTCCCACCTCTATTTCTGCCCCTGGCTCTCTCTTTCTCCCTCCCCAGATCTTTCTGTGCATGTGTGATGGCTTCTGTAATGAGTGCTCTTTGATGTGGAGGAGATCTAGGGTAAGCAGAGTGCTTAGTTGAGTGGGAGGCGAGGAATGCAAGGCAGGTACACCACGGTTGTGTGTGTTGATTAAAAGTCTTGTTTTCTCCCATCAGACCACACTCGACCATCCTGAATACGAATGTGTCTCTCTGGATCTCTGCGCTTTCTGTTTTCCCCCGCATAATCCAGGTTTTCAATCAAGATTTAGCTCATTAGTACAAGTTTATTTCACATGCCTGTCTTTGTAATGTACAGCATATACACACTTGTTTACTGCATTCCTTAAACCCTTTCACCCACTTTGACTCCTCTGAAACCAGTTCAGGCATTTCTTGCAGCAAACTACAAAGCCTGAACCTGTGTGAGCTGCTGACAGACATGTGTCCACAAAGGACCAAGAGAGAAAAACACTTTGATTCGATGCATTGTTGAGGAAAAAGATGGGCAGCATGGGGAGGGAAAACCACTCTGTGATTTGATGGATATTTCTGACGCAAACTGGTAAAAAGGTGAGTGTTGCTTGTGGTGCAGATATGTGTGTGTGAATGTCCAAATAAGTGTGTTTCCCCCTCCTCCTCTGCCTCTGTCTCAAACAAAAGATGCAAGTCAAGGCTACAAAATGGTAGTGGTGGAAGGAAAATAACTTTTTGTTTTCCATCCGTCATTTATTACTTCTCTAGATACCTTGGAGGTGGGAAACTTCAAAGACCATTCTACCAGAAGGAGGTGTAAGAAGCAGGTTGTAATTGCTAGTCATCTGGAGACCCACAAAAAACAGGAGAGGTGGAAGACAAAGAAGAGGAACAAGAAGAGGAAAGTGGAGAGAGAAAGAAGTCTCACAGCTGATTTCAGAGGAAAGATGATACTGTTGATAAGCGTACTTCTCCTCACTGGATGTGGCTCTGCAGGTGAGTCAGAATTTTATATCTGTGATGTTGCTAAAAGAGTTAGAAAAAGGGCAAAGGTTAGCAAACCAATTTTTTTATGACATGATGTCAAATGCAATATATTCAATGCACACACAGTAACAACTGGAACTTTAAGTCTGGATGTGACTGCAATGACTGCAATTTACTTCTTTCCATGTCGCAACTTTTAGGTCTGAAGTCAGACAAGACAAACAGTGGACAATTATAACACATCACAGACGCAGGCAGGCATGTTAGCCATCACACACACACACACACACACACTTTTCTGTCTATCTCTTTCATGCTCACATGTTCTCTTCTTGCACAGACACACAGACACACTCACTATAACTTAATTAGGGTAAACTCCATATTTCCTTTATGAGTCCAATTAAAAACTAAGAGCCACTTCTCAAAGCTGTCAGACTGTTTGATGTTGAGGTTGCAATCTCTCGCCGTAGCTGCTGTAAGCCGCCTTGAGTCGGGACCTGGGTCTCCGGGTGCTTTCCCTTCTAATTGTCCCCCAATTGAGTTGCATGCCAGCAGTAAAAGCTTTTATGACTTGTCTTCCAACTGTTCTGAGATGGGATCTCAGTCACCAGTGCTTCATATAAACGGGGGTTACATCATTTATGGTACCTTCTTAAATTGATCCAGATATATTCTTCATCTGTCTTGTGGATGGGAGCATATTTGTGACAAAGCCAAAATAGATCACAGGCATCATTGCAGACTCAGTTTAATTGTTCCACCAGTGCTGTCTCTGTTTTTATTCTCTTTAAGATCTGTCTGTCTCTTCAGTCATTTTCTTTTGCTGACTGGATCTCTGACTCTCTTCCTTCTTTAAGATACCATCTCTATAACTTTCGCCATCAGTATCCTTGGACCGATCTCTCTTTCTGTCATATCTCAGAACCTTTTAAAAGCCACCTTTAAAAAGTCATGGAAAAGGATTTGGCTTTTTCTTTGAAATTGTGGTTGTGTGGTCTGGCACCACCCACATGTATATCCCCGCTTTGACAACCTGAACCTAAATATTTCCTTCCATGACTTGTAATCTAGACACAAAATCGGGCTAGCCACTATAATTTACAGAATCTATAGGTTAAAGGAGCCCTGCATGTCAAGAGCAGAGGGTATGGAGGCAGAGGGGAGTATAACATTTGTAATTTAGTTTTAGGGGAGTCTGACTCAGGATCCAGATGCTGGAATGAGGGAGTGTTTGTATGTGAAAAGGTATGTGTGTAACTGTAAAACCAGTGTATATTTCTATACACTTTAAAAAGGCCTGTTTTAAGTTCCTTACATATAAACCATAGAGGCCAACTCTTGAAAGGAACTTTTTTCATAAAAAGTCATGAATCCCAAGGCATTTCCCTGTATATAGATGTTTTCCCATTTTTTTGGGATTTATACATCGTACTTTTATTAGTTTTCTTTTATTAGGACAGTGTACAGTAGATCTGTATAGATAAAGTTCACCAGGACACCCACTTCTTTTAATTTTTTGCTTTTCTTTTGGGCAGGAGGGCATTTTTCCTTTAGGGCATCAATGGCGTACATGTGTCATGCCTAACATATTCTGGTATTCTGATCAAAGGCAGTAGTGTACAACTTAACTTGCAAATTAATTGCAATGACCTCCACCAGGTTAGGTCATTCCACCATTTGTTTTCAATTAAACAAAACAGAATCAACTAATAAGGAAACTCAGCATACCAAAGGTAAAAGATCCTGCTCCACAAGTGTAACAGTTCCTTCCACAGTGTAATATTCACCATTAGAAAGAGACGTGACATGAAGCGATATAGGTCATAGATTTAAAACAAACAATATACTGTTCTAGCAATGGTGACTTGTATTAAACCTCGTCATGGATAATGATTATTCTTTATCCATGAACAGGTGGGTTTTTTTGGATTTTCGGATAGAACAGGAAATGTGTTCAAACACACCACATGATGACAAAGAGCCCCCCACTGTATGGTTTCCCCTGCTTCGTGATCTCAATAGTGTACACAAGTCACCATCTGCTACACTATAAACATCCTGTATACACTTGCTCTCCATAAGAGGCCTGAAAAATATGTATATATTTTTTAACAAGCAGATATCTCCCCTTTCCTCCTGCATGTAGCATGTGATTTATTTCAGTAGATCATATTTACTCATAGTCATGACTGCTTTGCTTGGGGGAATAGAAATATGAAATATGTTTTTGATCTCCACAGGAAAGTTAGATATTTACCCCTTGGAGGAAATACAAACATAAACAACTGATTGCATTTTTTTAATAAATAGTGCCAAGTTAGAAATATTATATACAACCTCTGAATATAAGACTGGACTGTATTAATTTTTGAATGCTGGACACCAGAAATTGATTCTATTACTGAAATGTATATAAAGTACACAACGGTGTTAGATTCACAGCATTAGAACTGTAATGCTTTGCTTTGTTTACATTCGTCTTCAAATCCCAGGAGCTCATTGCATTCCCACGAGCGTTCAAGCTTGCCATATAATTAGCAAACAAAAGTAACTAAGCACCTCTTGGTGGATGGATGATCCACGCTGAGACCTATTACAGCCACCAGGTGTTTACACTTGTCTTCGAGGAAACTATTTTGACTTTCCCAACATAAGGTAGAGTTTCTCTCAGGGGCAAAACCATAACAAATGGACAGAAAGACAGGCATCCACAAGTCTTCCTGCTCTTGCACATTGCCGCTGGTATTTCCAGTTCATGTGGTGTGGGCCACATCATGTGAGGCCTCTTTACCCAGATTGCTGCTATGATTTTATTGCAGTCTTGATTAGGCACATGTGACTAACTGCAAACCCCTGTTGGCAACGGCTGAGCCGTTGGCAGAAAGCAGAGGTCTTCCACAGCTCTGAATTGTAACGAGATTCAGCCTCGCGGGTTCACGAGGCGAGAGCCGTTTGCCGAGAATTTGATTCTTCTGGCCGTGTGGAACAAAGTTGGCCCAACTCACTTCATTTCACACATTAACTGTTGTGTTTGCGTAGAAGAGAGACATTTTCATTCTGCAGGCGGTCTCCACTACCTCACAGAAGAAAAATGCTAACCCTGCTTCACTTCCCACTGAAAAACTGGCCAAGTTGACTTGGTGAGAGAGGGAAAATATTGGGGTCTTATAAATGCAAAAATTCAGAGGGGGGAAATGGAAATATGACCAGTTTCCTGACATGAAAAGCAGAGCACATCAAGACTCAATCATGACATTCTCAAGAATAGGTTGGACCTCGTTCCCTTTCCTCTCTTGGACTGTTTTTCCAGGGGATGGGGGGAGAGAAATGGAAAGAGACATGGTTATGATTTGTATTTTAATGGATGCCAACACAAATTGGGTAGCTATTTTTTTTCCTTCCTTGTTAAAGGGGCTGCTGCATAGAAAGACCCGTTATACATTTACCACATCAAAGGACCATTCACATTTCTATCATATACACTTCAGAGTGGCGGACCCTGAGAAAAGAGGGAGAATGAAACTAAAACAACCTTTTAAAACAAATAAAATAGGGGTGGTGCATTTTCAGGAATCAAAGTGAGTAGAGGGGCTGCAATGCTACAGAGCTCTTGTGTGGTCCCAGCTTCTCTCTCTCTCTCTCCTCTGGCTCTTCCTCCTTCTCTCACATTTTCTCTTCCCTTTTTTTGTGGCTCTAAGCCTATGAGCTGGCGTTGGCCCTTCCTTACTACACACCCAGTGGGGCTTTAAAAAGGCAGGGCCGGAGGTCTTAGCAGCCACACACACTCTCTGCTCGTGCCTCTGTCTCGGTGTGCTGCTCTGAAAGCCGGCTGTGTCAACCTCTCCAGGCTCCAGGTCGCTCGGATTAGAGATGCAGACGCCACATTGCAGGGCCCCCAATCTCCTGCTCATCCTTCTCGGCCCCATACTGCTGGCTATGGGCCGGGCCGCTATGGACAGCCAAGGTGAGGAGACGACAGAGTTATTATTGCTGCCTGCGGTTGGGATATTAGTAGCACTTTGTGGGCAGACAAATGGACGCGCAGGGCGACTCAAGCAGGTAACCTCAACCTGGGGAAGGGTGAGTGTGTGAGGACAGACTGTGTTTGAGAACTTGATTCATGAGCACAAACTCAGGTGTGTAGGTGTAATGGAGAGTCTGTGTTAGTGTAAGTGCACAAAAGCGTGTGTGAGTATATTTCTTGCCTGTGTCCACCTGTTTATGTAAAATGTGGGATGCACTGTTTGTCTTTCCGTTGTTTTTGCCGTGTGGCCGGAGGAATGTTCCTTTTTGACTCCCTTCACTGTGAGCCTCCCTGTGGGCATGAATGGACAAAAACCAAAGTGTCTTCTTGGCTGTTTTTGTCATTTTGACACGTCTTGAGAAACCTCCTCTCTTGTCTAACCCAAGGCCAAATATAATTCAAAGTGTCAGACAATGGGGGATGCATGAGTGTGCAGGCACCTACAGACACACTTGAATTCTCTTGAAGCTTCTCTGTGCCAGAGCTTTACTATTCCACACAACACCACCCGCCCACACACACTAAGCAGTCAATATCCCACACATACCTGATTCTTTACCTGCAAAATCTCTGACATCCACAATCCATACACCCACACTCCAATCTCATTCTCAATCTGTGTGTGTTACAGTAGCAGCGCTGTACGAACTTGAAAAGGAACCAGCTTATTGGGATGCACAGGCCAGGGCAACCCTGGATGCTGCGCTGAAACTCCGCCCTCGGGACCACCAGGCCAAGAACATCATCCTGTTCCTCGGTGACGGTAGGTCATTCTATCATTATGGAATAGTATACATTCAATACAGACTTGGTTGTGGCTGAATTTGTGGTTGATGGAGAACCTACAGCTTTCAGCCTCAATGACAAACACAGCCTAATGTGCAATGCAAGACAATGCTCAAGTGTGTAGCTGTGCTCAGAATGGACTGAGGGAAAGTTGCTTGAGCAGCGGACTGTGTGTGAGTGGTAGTGTTGGCACGTGTCTAGATTTGTAGGGGATGATGAGCCAGTGCTCATAATACTGCTTTGGCCAGCTTTAGTCATTTGTTCAAATGCATAAAATTGATTATGAGGGCATGAAAAGCACACACTTGGAGTTGTGCGAGTAATGACTCAAAGTAGAAAGGCAGAAGTGGTGTGACAGTAATTGCTTAGACAGGAGGAGTTTACATCTCATCTCTTACCAACAGACAACAATGGTTTCATCATGAAGGTGACTTTTCTCCAACCCTAAGTAGTTTTAGTTTTACTGATAAATATTTGATGTTAATAATGGGTCAAATGAGTAAAGTGAAAGGAGTTAGCTGCCATGAGCGAGCCCTTTCACATTATTCTTTTTCATTTGACAAAGGTACCTTTACTTTACTCTACAGAGCAATTTCGTGTCTTCCAGTTCATTATCAAGTCAGCAAGAAGCCTGTGAAAATAGTGGAACATTTAGCAGCTAAAGAGCCAGATATTTCCCTCAGGAGTTGGTGGAGACCAAAACAGAGTTAGAGTGAGGGTGAAAGCTGAACTTACATTCCTCAGGTGGCAAGAAACACAACTCCAAAAGAACGCTAAGGTCACTAGGCACTTACTGTCACAAACTGCTCCTAATTTATTGTATGCCAACTTATTGAACTTTGAATTGTATTTTTAGGAGCTCAGGAGGTTGAATGACAATTATAGACGTGGAGTTTTCTTGGAAGTAAACAAAAGTTATGCTTATATTCCATGTTTAACCAATGCATAAGTGTATCCCTAAAATCTAACAAATGTGTTGAGTGCATTTTCTCCCTCACAAAACATTTGCAAGACATATTAACATACTTTTGATTGTGCATTGTTTGCATCCATGTTTTCTTGCTAGCAGTCTTTCTCTTTACAACCTTTATTAGCACATTGCTTTGTTTGTTGGCACCATCTGTGTGCATGATTCAAATAAAACGAAGACCTACTTGTATAACCATTGATCCATAATGTTAGTAGTGGTCAAATACTTTGCAGGGGCTTTGACTGTGAGGTGGCGATCCCTATCAGTGCAGGGTGTGGCTGTCACCTTGAAGATTCACTCCTACTACATGTCTCTTCCAGTTGGGGAAAGGTCCCATCTGGATCTGATTTGATCGGCAAATTTTTCACATTAATTGTCATTGTGTGGTATATTTACAGCTGTTGATGCATGACAGTGTTTTTTGTAAAGGGAGCTGTTTCAAGGCGCAGAGATTTAAGAGTGTTTTCGTTGTTAACTACTAATATATCTGCTTTCAATCAGACCTACTGAGTCACATTTCTGGGTGGTCGGGGCTGAGTTTTCTTTGTGCATCTCTCCAGTAATGCCCTGCCCAGAGCATGTTCTCACTTTTATGGCTGTGATGTTGAAGGGAGAGTTGAATGCATCACAGTGGCATGGGTTTTGTCGTACGTAAGTATGGTTTTCAGTCAGGGTTGAAATCCAATAGTGGACCACAGGAAGCGATAAAACAGGTTCCTTAATTTATTTAGAAAAAGTGATCAAAAGGCATATACTGTATGCTTTTTGTAATATATGCCAATGGGGGACATCGCAGTATCTTTATGTATGTTTATATGTTATATGTTGTACTAATAGTGTTTTGAATACTTGCCTGGAGAAGTCAGTATTGGTCTGTGCGATGATTTTGTCTGAAAATGTGGTTCTCCTAGAAAACCGCTGCCTTAAATACCCTGTATTTGTGGATTCAGTTGATGTTAATGGCCTTGACGTCCTTTGACTTTGTTTGCTTAGAGAATTACTGAATAAATTTCTTTCCCTCTCATCTGACAGTAATAGTCTGAGCTTTAAAAACAAACACATTTTAATATTTCTGGGAAGGATTTTTGAAATGTGCACAAACTGGACAGAGAACAGTATCCTGGGCTTTTTGGGGTCAGAACAGCAAAACCTTCATATAATGTGAATACATAGGCTACATAATATAGATTTCTAAATTATCGATTCCTTAATATGTTATTCAATGTGTCAGAAGACTGAAATAGTGAAGCAAAAACATTATTGATGGACCCTATCAGTGAACCTTCACCTGTCAATAATTGTCTTCCAGGAATGGGTGTGTCCACAGTGTCAGCAGCTCGAATCCTGCGAGGTCAAATGGAGGGCGAATCAGGGGAGGAGACAATGCTGGCCATGGATACTTTCCCATATGTGGCCTTGTCAAAGGTGATAACACAACACTGTTGACCTGTAATTCATCAGTCATTAGCCTATGTAGACTACAATGCAATTTCTAATCTGAAAGAACCAGTAGGGTTCCTTCATATAAGCATTTATACAGCATATATCTGTGTTTTATGAATTATTTCCATTTTTATGGCAACACAGTAATTTTGCACTTTTCACATATATTTTTCCAAATACTTGAAGAAACAGGTCGTAGAAAGTTTTTTTATTATGTATCGGCACTCTGTGACGTCTGAATTGCTTTGCCTGTACACACACACACACACTATCAACATTGATATCAAAGGATGAGCGCTGTTGTTAGATGTTGTGTGAAAGAAAGTGTGAGAGAGAGGACCACCACATGCTAATATACTTGCGTGTGTGTGTGTGTCTGTGTGTGTGTGTGTGTCTGTGTGTGTGTGTCTGAGGGTGAAATATGGAGAAAAAAGGAGAAACAAAAAGAGAGAAACAGCAAGAGAAAGAGAAATAGAGACAGAAATGCTCAGCAGATGAAGTATATAGAAGGGTGGCTTAGTGTGTGTGTTACATGCTTTGTTCCCTCTACATGTTGTATCTTGCCTCATACCATCCCACTCTGAGTACTCAAACCACTGTGTGAAAAGATTTTCAAGGGATTTAGCTAAAATCAGCAATTTAACTAAAAATGCTGACATTGTGGTAGAAATGGTGGGAATTTAATTTAAAGTAAGATTCAGCTTCATGACTAAGTATAATTCCTCAATTTCAGTAATTCAAGTGTGAGTGTTCAGTGCCTCTGTGTTTTAGAATTTCTACAAATATATGTTTATGCCCTGTTTGGTCTTTAATGGTGCTTGTGTTTCTGCTCCACAGACCTACAGTGTGGATAAACAGGTAGCAGACAGTGCTAGCACAGCTACAGCCTACCACTGTGGGGTGAAGGCCAACGCTAAGACAGTAGGGCTCAGCGCTAATGCAGTGGCCTATGAGTGTAACACCACCTTTGGCAATGAGGTCTACTCAGTACTACGGCGTGCTAAAGCACAAGGTAAGGTCACTGAATGGCTTGTCTAAGTATTGGGTGTGATGTGTAATAGAAAGGTCAGCTCGTTTAAATTACATTCTTATTCTAAGTAATGCAATTACCACATATATGTGAAAATAAAATAGGCTATGAGGAATAAAACAATCATCTGATAAGTTCTCTACTACTTGAGTGGCACCAGTTGTAGTTAAATGTTCGTTATACCTATAATTAAGTTGTAGTTACCTAGATAGCTATTGCAATGTGTTTAGAATGTGTTTGTGTTGACATTTCCTCATGAAGCGATAAAGTTTTAATCATACAAAGTTTCCTGGAGGAAGTATTTTCTTGATAAAGTTAGAGCCAAAAAAGCAAGGTTGTCCAAATGAAAGTTAATTGGCAGTTTTAATTCTGATTTGGGTGTGCTTCTGCCTTGTCCAGGTAAATCAGTTGGCATAGTGACCACCACCCGTGTCCAGCATGCCTCCCCAGCCGCTGCTTATGCTCACTCTGTCAGTCGCAGTTGGTACAGTGACGCAGATCTTCCGTCTAGCGCCCGCAGGCAGGGATGTGTCGACATTGCAACCCAGCTGGTCACTAACGTTGACATTGATGTATGTAAGAACTTTTCTGTTTGGCACATTCCTTTTTAATTAATTGGATCAAGTTCAGTTAAACTCTCTACTGCAAGTGTGCAACTCTTATATGGCTCCTCCAACAAGTAGTAGTATTGTGCTTATCTACAATAGTAGTATGTCCTTTGATCATTGATTTGTTTTAAAATGGATAAGGAGCAGTTTGGAAACAGTTTTATGAGAATATGACTCATTTTATTTGAGTTCACCATGACTTTAATCGGCCTATATGGTTGATATGATGCTACAAAACAGCCATGGAATAAGGTGAGACAAGGTGCAGAGAAGAAAAACAAGAACAACAGCACAGAACATTAGTGTTTATATAAGGGATATTTAAAGAAGGCAGATTTAGTCCAGTTTAAAGCCCCCCTCCACTGAAAAATATGTTTTTATTCTTGTTCCTACAGTTGGATATTTGAGCTTCACTGTGCTGGATTATGTGCATACATACTTTTCACACTAGAAGGATTTTTTTCGCATTTATCTGCTGAAAGTGGAAAGTGTCTCTGTGCTCATAGACAATCAGAGTTTAAGAGGCAGGTTTTACGAGCATAATTTGTGGTCCAGTATGCAATTTATACAAGTGGGATGTGGAAACATACATTTAGAATGGACTTTACAGTGAGATATAAGATATATAATATATATATAAGATATTTTGTGTCTGGAAAGTTTCAGAAAAATAACAAAAGCAGATTATATATATATGTCTTAATAGGAGATCTTGAACTATATCCATCTCTAAGTGCATCAATTTTCATCTTTCTCAATCAACTCTATGGCATTCAGAGGATATTGTTTTAATAGGTAGCATCCCACTGATATCAAAGACATGGAAATGTAACATTGTTTAAAAAGGAAGATATCTACTTTTTTATGTTTATGCTGGCGGTACATTCATGTGCAGTGGGGACATTTTATCTTCCATTATTTAAAGATGAGGTGATAAACAACAGTTGTTTCGAACAGAAGAAGCTAAAAAATGGACTTTAAAAAAATACATAGATGCATCTAATCTACTCACATAATTTGCATTTTTCTTCTTTAAAATTCTTTTAAAAGACCACATACATATACATACTCTTCCAGTCATTTTCATTTTCTATCTTGATCCTCAGGACTCATAGAGCCTTACTGGTTTTAAATCTAGCCTTATAATTGAAGAATTATTTACACATTAGCTGTGAGGTAAATGAAGTCAAGTAGCTGGTAGATGAGAAAAAATCACAGCAGTTTTATGACAGAGCTCTATTGTTAGGGCAGTATAATTCTTCAGTATAAAGACTATTTTAGGATACTACTGTAAATGTAATGATTCTGTCCGGTGTCCTTTTTAGGTGATTCTGGGGGGAGGGAGGATGTACATGACACCAAAAGGAACCCCAGACCCTGAGTACCCTACCTCCAACTCCCGCAAGGGGGACCGAAAAGACAAGAGGAACCTCATTGATGTGTGGCTGAAGGCTAAACCAGTAGGATTATTTTACATTACTGTTGGATATTTCTATGTATTTTAATATATTAGTCACAGCTTCAAATGTCCTGTGGTCTGTTTTTCAGAACAAGAAGTCACACTACATTTGGCACAGGAAGGAGTTTGACGAGATAAATGTTAAAACTACTGACCGGCTCATGGGTGGGTATAGATGTGTTAACGATGATAGATAATCAGGTTGAACAGATAAGCAGACACTCATGAGCGTACTGCAGTATATAAAACACACAATGATACCATACACACGGTACACAAGACTGATAGACAGGCAGAAAAAAAAACAATACATAATGCATGCGCAACACATACATTATGTACTCACTCAGACACATGCACTATATTTGAACCCCTTGTGTCTACATTACTCAGGTGTTGACAGATACACTTCTAACTTATGAAATCCTTTCAGTGGAAACAAGAGGATTCCAGTAAGGTCAGTTTTCATCTTTTACAGCCATCAAAGCAGTCATAACAGTACACTATAAATTTAGTTAGTTGCAGTTATCAACCCGGCCTATGGTCATAAAAATGAAAGGGTGTGTTCTTTGCTGCGATGTGTATGACAGTAATACAAATGCAATATAACTCTTATCATCTTGTACAGATCTGTATCTTTCATGTGTGTTACAAATGTGTACCTTTCCCACGTTTGAAATAAGAAGTCACAGGAAAACAGAATAGGCTTCTCCAAATGTCTCCAATTAGGTTTTATTCTAAGAATTATCATCTGAGGATGTTTTTGATCAATCGGATGGGTTGTCTGAACATGAAATGTTTAAGCAGTATTGACTTTTTAGCTGCGACCAGCAGCTCTATAACTTGCTCTGTTGGTTGGTCGGTTCACAAAAAAATCCCTACCCTTTTGCAGTTACAGTTTTCACCGTAAGAGGCTGATATTTGGCATGAAGGTCAAGTGTGTACGTGTGTTTTAGTTTGTGCCAATTGCCTATCGCAAAAAGGTTGTGTATGTGTGCATGTGTGTGTGAATGCATGAACGAGTCATTTCAGAATGAAATTTCTCCTTGAACAAGACTTAGACACAGCGGATCAAGCGAAAGGAACAGAAAACGTTCCTGTAGGGTAATTGTATCAGACACTAATAATAACAATCTGATCAATCATTTGCAAAAACAAACACGTGGATGTATTTTAGCGGTACCTGTAAGGGGATTACGTTGTAGCCCAGTTTGTGGCTGCAGGCTCAATACCCAATACTAGACCAAATTCAAAAATTGTTGTCCCCTATTAGTTACTTTGACACAAAAACAGGATAAATTGAGATCTAAATGAAAAAATACTGAAGTTACCCTTTAACTCATCATTACCACCTATCAGTACCAAAGTCCTTTTTTTTTATTCTACATCAAAATATTGTTTCCTTCTTTTCTATGGTTCCAGGTCTGTTTGAGCCAAAGGACATGAGATTTGAGGTCTTCAGGAACAGCACACGTGACCCCTCCATTGTGGAAATGACAGAGAAGGCCATACAAATCCTCAGCAAGAATCCCAAAGGATACTTCCTTTTTGTGGAAGATGAGTACTATATGAACAGCATTGAGTGATTTAAAATGTCACGATGGTCAGTGTAAAACAGGGTGCTCTCAATCTTTGAAAAATGTTGTCTTTAAGATTTATCCTACAACACCTAACACATATTTTAGAAAAATAATAATAATAATAATAATCAAATAGGACTTTTTCTTTTAGCCACTGCTAGTTTTGAGCCAGGTCTGATTTCCTCTTTTTGTGCTGTTCTGTTACGAGGAAGAATTGATCATGGCCACCATGACGGCATTGCCAAACTGGCACTGACAGAAGCTGTGATGTTCGACCGAGCCATTCATCGTGCTGCGCAGCTGACCAGAGAATCTGATACTCTCACCGTGGTCACTGCTGACCACTCCCACGTCTTCACCTTTGGTGGCAACACACCCCGAGGGAATCCCATCTTTGGTACGGTCCAAAGCATAAACATCCAAATGTATTATTATTATTAACCTAATGCAAACCACACATGAAAATTAGTAAGACTAGCCTAGAATGACTGATTTTTGGACATTTATATATGAAGGTAATTGCATATTTTTTAAGAGTGTGGTTATGTAACGTACATGTTAAAAGCTTCCATATTTTTTGTCTCATGAAAGTATGTCTGAGTCCGTTTTGCCTCTATGTGAAAAGGTACTGTGACCAGCATATTATAACTCACCTCCTCCACCATTATTTGTCATTCAGGTCTGGCACCAAAGAAAGCTGATGACAAAATGCCTTTCACCAGCATCCTATACGCCAATGGTCCTGGCTATGTCCACATAAATGGAACCAGAGGGAACATCACAATGGTGGATTACTGTAAGCACAAACTAATGTGTTTCAGATGCTGCACTCGTCTGTGCTGATGTGTGTACAGACAGCGTGAACTGATGTGGTTACAGCTGACTCATGCCTGTGTTTTTCTCTGGAAAGCAAAGATGAAATATGATGTTTATGGCATTCACTGCTGTCTTATGTTCTGGTCTCTGTAGGCCTCACTGTGTACATGTAACAGTACTTAAAAAAAGCTATTTGCATTTCTTTGTGGAACACTGGACAGCAATGATCCAGTTCTTCCTCCTCTGGTTTTGCACCATTCACTTTAGTCATTACATGATTGTGTATACTTGGAGGTGGAAATACTTCTATCCAGGGATGAATTGCCTTTTAAAACCCCCAATTTTGTCTTTTTGAATGGCCTGACGTCACTTAAACTTTTTGGAACCTGTAGTTGTGTCTCAAAAGTGCACACTCTTCTGGTACCTTAAGTAAGCATGCAATTACAAGTGAGGGATTCATTTCTAAAACTTTCTACGGGAAATGTGATACACCGCAGAAGTCAGCGTCTATATTCCGTTAAAGACTATGAGACCAAAACACTATTTTTTTAGAGAAGGAGGTATGAGTAGCCAAATAGAATAAAGCTTTCCAACAGATTTTTGTAACAATCAATCCACAATACTGCAAGCATACTCTTTTTGAGACTCAAGTTGTTTTACAGCAGTAACCTCAAGAATACTTGTTTTCTAGCATTGTATGTTTGCTTTTGGGAGGGGAAAAAAATCTGTAATCTGTCAGCACACTTCACTTTAGAAAAGTCAGGCAGTAAATGCTGTAATTTTATCAAAAGGATTTAAATTACCTTCTCGGTTTGGAAAATGTTGTAATTATGTTTAATTAGGTAAATTACAGAAGATTTACAGCACACCATTTTATGGGCAAACAGCCATACAAACATCTATGAGGCGCATGTAATCTTAAAGCTATCCAGAGATTCTCTCTGGTGTGGGTGGCATTTGAACTGACAAACAAAGGGGTTCCAGTGCAATAAAGGCACTTATTGTTAAGGTGGTAAATGCAGGGTATACAGTGATATTATTAATGTTTCAGTGACTGTGTCACAGTCACAGTGAAGAATAAAATGAATCTGAATTGACATTATGGTTAACTTATGTTTACTGTGTGTTTTGTTACACTCTACTTATTTCTGTCCAGACGATGAGGAGTACATGCAGCAAGCTGCCGTCCCATTGGATGCTGAGACGCATGGTGGGGAGGATGTGGCCATCTACGCCAAAGGCCCAATGGCTCACCTGTTCCATGGGGTGAAAGAGCAGAACTACGTGGCTCACGTGATGGCCTATGCTGCCTGCTTAGAGCCCTATACGAACTGCCCTCCTCACCCCCACACCCACACCTCGAGCGGGAGTGTGAACGCACCCCAGAGCCTCCTGTTATGCCTGCTTGGACTCCTCTTTTTGCTCAGATGACCCCAAAACATGCACACATCAACACACACATACTTACACAAATACATTGTATGCATGCAGAATTACAGACACTTAATGCACTAAACACACATAAAGTACGTGCACACACATTCACTGTATGCACACAGGCTGGCAAGTGAGAATGCAGGGATAAACATATATAGTACTGTATGTATTAAAGGTCTAGTGTGTAGGGTTTAGTGGCATCTAGCAAGTTAGAGATACTCTGGTGGCAAGGAAACAGGAAAAATGTGACCACCCCTATCTAGAGCCAGTATTTGGTTTGTCCCGTCTGGGCTACTGTAGAAACATGACAGTTCAACATGGAGGACTCCATGGAGGTTGACCCATGGTGTCTGTATATATAAACAACTCATTCTAAGGTAACAAAAACATAACGCTTCTTACATTCATGTGATTATGCACTAATGAAAACATACCTATAAATATTATATATTACACTTCTGCCAAAAGAGCCTCCTAAATGTTACACACTGAACCTTTAACAGAAATATACTCACATACATCCTGATCACACAGTATACCTACACATGAGCTTGTAACCTAGAATTCATAAAAGATGCAGGCTTAAACATGCATGTAGTAGCTCTTATTCAAATACAAATTAACAAACAGGCAGACATTACAGGCTAGAACACATGTAAATATCAACTTTCATTTACACACAAGCTTTTATTTAAAAAACACTCACACACACATGCAACTATTGCCATTTTTAAGATCATGAACATTTATTTCATAAGAACTATTTCAAATCTGTACCTGCAACATGACTACTACCTTGCACTAACTAGTTATTTCATTAGTTAGTTACATTTTTGTCCTCTTCTTATTTTCCAAAGTTAAATGCAAACTCTGCTAGCACTCTGCACACTCAGTTATCAAACATTTGCAAGGAGCAGTAATTTACTGGTTAAACATTCATCTGAGGCTTTAGCAAGAGTAACTTGAAACAAGCATGCAGGCTGAGGGTTTCAGCTAGGACACACAGCTGTTGATGTACATGATCATCACTGTCCAGATGGAATAAATGACTATATCACAGTAACAGTAACTATGAGCCATCGTGCCATGCCAAGCTACGATACCCACAGACCTTACAAGAAATCATAAAGATGCTGTACTTCTTTCAGGAGTAGAAGATATGTAGCTTTTAAGTTTTTTATTTAGATTGTATCTTGACCTCATTGATTCCAAATAGTACATCTGTTTTTCTGTCAGATTGTCTGTCACTTGATATGTAATCAATTTGGATTGTACATGAATGTATTTTTTAAGCAAATATTGTCAATGTATTTTTATACTTTGTTTTTGCAAATGTTACTTAAATAAGAATGAAAAAGTGACAATGAGTCTATTCTCCAGTTAATTTGATAACAATTCTCTTATTTTACAGGCCCTTCAGTTTCATAAATATTTCCTAAAAGGCAACTGGGACATTTTCTGGAAAGGGTTTGCAGATTTTTACAGAAATAAATATTTAAGAAAAAACAGAGGGATTGGGTTTGTTAGGTCTAATGAAAGCATTAAAAGAAAAGAAAAAGGCTAGACCATAATCAATGCAACAATCAGTGCAAACATTTGACACACAAGAATCGTCCCATTTTAAAATCCAAATACTTTGGAAACCCTGGAAATACAACAAAACAAAATGTAGGTACATCATGCAAAAAGAAAGTCAGGGCATCAACATAACATACAATGTCACATTGGAACAACATTTAAGAAAACCATTCCACTTATAGTAAATTCCATGCCATGGACCTTTTGGATAAAGTGAAATTAATTTTGTTGTATCTTCGCAACATAACCTGTTAGACCCGACGGACCCGGTACAGGGTCCGGCGAGCGCTACAATGTTTTACTGCCTGTAAAAAGTTAATAAAACGCTGTGGTGTTTTTTTTCTTCAAATGTTTCCAAAAGACGAGGCTTCAACTCTACCAAAACAGCAGTCCAAGTGTATTTTTCTCAAACACAGTTTGTTTGGCAATAATGTAAAGTTTCAACAATTAACTAAACACAACATAACATTACTAATGTGAGTATACTGAAGGCAGTCAAAAATGAAACGCCAGTCCAGGCTACAGACATACTATACGCTCGCTCGACTCCAGTCATGTTAGGTGTCAAATTAAACTAGATAAGCTCATCATACTTAGGTAATAAATAACAGAACACTGATCACCTGGTATATACTTATGTTCCCTTTGAACGGTCCCTAGATGTCCCCATGCACACCAAGGAACATGGCATATGAACGCTTCATACATTCGTGGAAGTAATTCATTCATTTACTTTAGGCGTTTTTTTCTGAAAATATGGCTAGGGTTTAACAGGATAATCTGTGAAATGCTATATTGCTGGGTCGTCATATACTTCAGTTATGTTGTTGTGGGTGAATGTAATCTTATTTTTATTTGTCCAATGGCTGCCAGTTCTGTCTCTTAGAGGTCTTGCTTCTTGCACAAAATCCTCTGCTGTAAGACATCCAAATGCTGATACTGACAGAAAAGCTGTGTGACCTTGTGAAGGTCTGTCTGAACCACGAGGCCAGTCGGTGTAAAGTGCTGAGGGTTTTTAACCATACTGCTGACAAAACATCACACAGATGTACAGCCAGGCCCACCTGTACACACACAGACTCACATGTTATCAATTAATTCTGCCACAAATTCAAATAAATGGTTGCTCAGATATAAAACTGTTTTAACAAAGTGTAGGCTGAATTATGGCCTGCTTAAATATGAGCTGTAAACATTTGTAAAACAGTAATATAATACATGGAAAGCACCATAAAATATTGTAATCTATTTATGGTGGCTATAGGACAATAATAATTAAAGCTGCTCCTGGTTAACATTCAACAAATAGGGTTTTATATCCCAGCTGGGTTTGCACTTCAGCAGATCTGGAGCTAATAAACACTAAAATAAAAACAGATAATGGATTGATAAGATCACAGTTAAGATTAATGATTAATAACCCTCTTGCACATTTTTTAGCGTCCTTTTAGATGTATTGGCACTGTCAAACAAATACACTTCAAAATAAAGAATGTATAATTTCCAGCCAAGTGTACTGGAAACAAAACAAACATGGTTGAACTTTTTTTGAGCAAAGCAATTTAAGATAATATTGGTTTGAAGCGATGTCGAGATTTTTGTGGCTGTAATGCACAAAATGCTTTTGTGGCTGTAATGCACAAAGGGACTTCATCCGTGTGATGAAACATGAGTTGGGATGAACTATTTGGCCAGATGTTAAGCTAACAGCAGCTCTTTTGAGAAATCTTTTCAAAATGTTTCTCCATTTAAATTGGAAGTCCATGCAACATCTTCCACAGTATCTGTCTAGACCAGAAGTGACATTCTTTCTTTGTAATTTGCTGTCCATACTGCCTCAACACCTGTCACCTGCCATATCAGCCACACATTTTGGATACCTACAAAGAAATATGGAGAAATTATTTAAGATGCCAACTTTGTTCTTGTGTGTGTGTGTGTGTGTGTGTGTGTGTGCGTTGTATATAACTCCTGACTCACGTTGACAGGCTCCTCCATGTGCACTTTGCTCCTTACCTGCAGCTATAAAGGGACCTTAGTGTGTGCATTAGCACTCAGTTACTCCGTTGTTTTCTTTTTAATTCACATATAGTCAACGCCATGGCCAACAAACATCAACACATTTTTATTGGATTATTAATTTTGATTTCAGTGAAGTGGACTTTGTCTGTTCCAGGTAAGGATCTGTAAACACATTGCTGCAGAAACTAAGAATACTTATACTTTCTGACCTCACATTGGACTTATACAACTGGATTTCAATGACAACACAATAGACATGCCATACTTACAGTACACAACCATCAATCGATTAATTTACTTTTCTACCTTTTTTATTCTGCTGATGCTGCAGAAAAAAAAACTTGACCAATATTCACTTTTATAAGCACATCAATGTTTTAAAGTTGCGTGGCCTTTATGACTTTGCTCATTTTATTTCTTATAAGTAATATAAGACATTGTGTTTATATACCTGTGATTTCAAGCCGTACAAAATATTTACGATGTTAAAACACATTTAATAAGCTATTTCTAGTTGTGGATAACACTATCATATTGTTTTTCTGCCTATAGAGGAAGAGCTCCATGCCAGCTACTGGAACAACAAAGGGAGACAGGCTCTTCACACTGCCCTGAATGTTCAGCCTAATCTTCACAAAGCCAAGAACATCATCCTCTTCCTGGGGGATGGTGAGTCTGAAAAAGGAGCTTTCCCACAGTTCAGTTCAGTTTCTTTGATTTGTGGAGCATTTTCGCCTTTTTGTACAGTTGGTTTGTTCAGGTGAGAAGGAGCCAGTAGAGCTGAATGTGAGTCTCATCATCATTGTGGTGTTACTTCACAAAGAGGGAGAATACAAAGCAAACCCAGTGTACTATGTGACCCCAAAATGTGTCGGTTTATGGGTAGAATGAAATGAATGCTGACATCTGATCACCAGCAGTTACTACAGCTCGATAAGCCAAGTGTAACAAAGTGAACTGAGGTTAAACCACATTCTACATTGCATGTGTAGCTTTTTCCTTGTCTTGATCTGATCTGAACACCAAAAAAGGTAAACTACTGCAAAGAGTTCAAATAAGGCCATGATGCATAGCTGAAGGTTTAGAAACTGGTCTCTTATCGAACACCCCTTAATTCTAACATATCTAAAATGGTAGGATGACTGATCACCAGATCTCAAATAAACAACTTTGTTCCTTTTAAAAGCTGCATGTGAATGTAAACGCAACAATTACAAACACAACTGAGCAACATTTTTCACTATATTTAATGCAGATAGAGTAATCACTTCTGTTGACTTCCTTCTGTTTACTCCATGAGCCAAGATCAGTATTTGGCAACTCCAGTTGAATATTTCTGAATGTATAGATGAATTATGGATTTATGGTTGCCATTGCCTCCACCCCAACCCACACACATGCTGATAGCAGCACATTTCAGATTGTATCAGCGTCTGGGATTGATCAGTAACATTTAATCACTTCATAAATTACGTTGCAAAATTGTTTTCATTGTTAATTACACAGTTGCAATACCTTTCTGAGGAGGAATAACATGATTAGCCTTACACTTTAGCAGCTGACTAATTTAATGACGAAGTCTTTTGCAGATTTATGTTAAAATACAGTATATTTGATTAGAAGACATATTTAATCTGATGGTCAATAAGATGACTTCTCCACCATTTGTGATTGTAAATAACTTCATGTCTTTCACCGCTCTTTAAACTCTCACATCAGCTGAGCCTTATGAGGTTCACAGCGCACAATGGCAGCCCTGTGCCTGCCTGGACAATGTTATCTAACGGTGTGTTTCCACCTGTTTGCAGGTATGGGGGTACCAACAGTGACTGCTACGCGGATCCTCAAAGGCCAGTTGGCAGGAAAATCTGGGGAGGAGACCAGTCTGGTTATGGATACCTTCCCACACCTGGCCCTGTCTAAGGTCAGCCCACTCTGACCAACACATTCAGACTGCTACATAGAAATGTGTATTTAAAATTTTGGAATGAAAACACCAGACATTTGGGAAATACTGAATTCTGAATGATCCATCCCAATGTGAGTACCAGCCCAGTCCTAATGAGTACAAGCTTTTACCCTCAGGCAGACAATATAGATTACCCAAGTGGCAACTCAGTCAATTTAAAAACTTGTTTGTGCTTTCTTTTATTAACATCTAAAACAGTAAGGACATAGTATGAGCAATGGAGGCCATAGTACCCAAAGGGACTTTTTATAGAATGTGTGTGTAGGTTGTGTAATATATTATTTTAAAGTCATCACTTACATTTATGTAATACCAGGATGTGGCTGACTGTGTCATGTCTACAAAAACAATCCCTAAGAGGACAAAAAAGTATAGGTTATCATATTTTATAGTATTTGTAGTACTTTAAATGTTAAATTAACTTTCACGTTATCTGTTATGTAAGTACCCTTGCCAATTATTATTTTATGGTGAGGACACAGTGTCATAGACATGAATTGCTCATGTTGCTTATATATATATATATATATATATATTTAATAAATGTCATTTTCCAACTGAATATACTTGAGGTTTGATCGGCTGTCATTATAATCATCCCATGTCAGACTCATTTTTTAAATTCAGGTTAGAGTAATTGAGTAAGTGAATAAGTTCATCCCTGCGGCAAAAATTCAGACAAAGTATTGTAACCTGCTATCCCATTCCATTAAAATTACTTTTATTACACAGACAAACATAGCCAACCACTAAATTGATCTTCATGTTCATAAATTAAAGAGTGCATTTCTCATATGAGTTGAGGTTACTAACATACCCACCAACTATACAATCTTATTCTTCTATAACTCTAAGTGTAAGTCCCTGTGCATAAGAACACCTGCCTGAGATGATAAATGTTCATGTTAATGTGTGTGATTATATTTGCCCCCCGCAGACGTACAATGTGGACCAGCAGATGCCAGACAGTGCTGGCACAGCCACAGCTTACTTATGTGGTGTCAAAGCCAACTATGGTACTCTGGGTGTCACCGCCGCCACCCCAAGGTACAACTGTAGCGCTACCTATGGGAATGAGGTTACATCAGTTCTGCACCGTGCCAAGAAAGCAGGTAGGTTCATGTTCACACAGCTTTAAATTTGGGCTTGTATCAGAGTTGATGTGTTATTCATTAAGGACATTTTCTCAGACTGATCAGTATTACTACACTCTTTGATTTGGTTTGAAACACATTTAAATTTTGTTTTTCTCCAATGTCTCATAAGTTTATATATCCATGTCATAAGTAGAGTCTAAAAAATATATCCACTTTATGACCAGTTGCTCTGTGTGTTTTAGGAAAATCAGTGGGAATTGTCACTACAACCAGAGTTCAGCATGCCTCTCCTGGTGCAACCTACGCTCACTCTGCCAACCGAGGCTGGTATTCTGACTCTGAGCTTACCACTGAGGCAGTCGAAAATGGCTGCCGTGACATTGCATACCAGCTGGTTCACAACACTGAGATAAATGTAAGCCATAATGCATTATAGGAAAACAATAAAGCACCCAAGTCTATTTTTTTTTATTTACTACTTCTTGGTCTTCTACAACCTGGATGACAGAGAATAGACATAGACATATTGTGATGTAATGAACCATGTCTCTTGATCCAGGTCATTCTGGGTGGAGGTCGTCAATACATGTTTCCCAAAACCATGCAAGACCCAGAGTATTCAAATAACACAGGAGATCGCAATGATGGACAAAATCTTGTTTTGGAGTGGATTAAGAACAAAAAGGTAAATGTTAAATTGTGCTGATCATGTTTGAGTGTGAATCAATGTAATTTTCCCTCTGGCTGCAATTTTATATTTTTAACAAATGTATTTAAAAGTAATTTCTTTGTTTTTATTCATTACCTACAGAATGTTCAGTATGTTTGGAACAAAGCTGATTTTGATGCTGTCAATCCTGCAAACACAGACTTCCTGATGGGTAAGAAGAACTATTCAATTCATCAGTTACTTTACATGTGAAAACAAGGACAACAGGACCTCACATACATAGTCTCCATAAACATACAGTACTACATTCTCACTAACTATACCATTGTCACCAGACTATACTGTAGTTATTTGTCAAATTAATTGATGTATAAATGACCTAAACTGTCCTTGGGCAAATAGGGTGAATCAAACAGGGATATCTTCTCTGATACAGTCTTTTAATTAATGATGCAGCAATTAGAGTGCTATCATATATTTTTTGGGGGGGATGAGGAGTTTGTTTAGCACAAATCATGGCACGAGCACTGCCAGCTCTATTCAAAGGGCATGTACACATTTTAAAAATGGGCCTGTTTTTTAAACTTCTCCCTGCATTTAGGTCTCTTTGAGCCCAAAGACTGCCGCTACGAGTTGGACCGCGATTCATCCATGGACCCCTCCCTTACAGAGATGATGGAGAAAGCAATTAAGATTCTCAGCAAGAACCCAAAGGGATATTTCCTCTTTGTGGAAGATAAGTGTCATTGTGTTCTATAGGTAAACAACCACGTAATCTATGTTAAACTTCTTAAATTAAAGGTGGGCGATTCTAACAACACCTTTTTAACAACACCTTTTTTATAAATTCAGCAAATATCTCCTCACTGTCCACCAACTTTCCACTGTGTGTGCTGAAAAAAAATCTGGTGGTTGTACACAGCACTGGCTGTTATTACAGCCATTCCAGCCAGGATTTGTGCGTCAGATATGGACAAATTTCTTGCCCACAGACATTCAGCTTACTTTCTAGTTCTCCATGATATGCTGTTGTTGTGATGTTAGCTATAATAGCAGAATCAAACCCACCTTTAACTGAAACATTTTTAGTTTTGTTAAGTTTTTGTCCAAATCATGATGACAAAGATTTACTTTACAGTACTTATGTCAAGTACTTTCTTTTGAACTTTAAGCGGGAGAATTGACCATGGTCACCATGGAGGGAAGGCCAAAAGAGCTCTCTATGAGGCTGTTGAGTTTGACCGGGCGATCGGGCGAGCAGCTGAACTTACCAGTGAGCTGGATACTCTGTCTGTGGTCACTGCTGACCACTCCCACGTCTTTGCCTTTGGAGGATACTCTGCTAGAGGAAACTCTGTTTTAGGTAAAAATGCACTCTTATGCAATAAATTTGCTGAGGGAGGTTTTATAATACTCAGAATATCAACTGATGTTCCAGTTTGAACAAACCTGTAGATATCAATTTGTCCTGTGATTTACAGGGGTATCTCGCTCAATAGCTGATGACAAGAAGCACTTCACCACTGCTGTGTATGGAAATGGACCAGGATACCAAATTGTCAATGGAACTCGCCCAGATATGAATGAGACAATTTCATGTAAGTTTACATTGATAATCAGATGACGAAGTAATATAGTAGCTCCATCTTGTGGTGTAACAGGATATCTACTGCAGAGGCACAAAGAAGAACTGACCGTTCAATGTCATGTGAACCAGACTTTAAGCAAGACGATGAACCCCCACCTGCTCACTCATATTAATAAAGCTCCATGCAATTAACAATTCATTGACAATGTAACACCTTTACAATTTGTATCCTCTATTGTTTGCAATGAGTGGGCCTGTGTAGTATTTTGCCCAACAGCTTTGCAAATATTATGTATTAAATGTTTCAAAAACATTTTGAGGTATTAAGGGGATCACAGCAGATGTCATTTATTTTTTTCCCAATTAAATATTAAATAAAAACAGAATACCTCTTTATTACCAACATGATGAGCGTTCTCATATTAAGCAAATCATAACATATAATATCTAATACTCTGAAATTATTTAACTATCATAAACATTAAGAAGTGATCAGATAACCTGACCAATCAGCGAGTTTGAACATGTAATAATGTACAGTGAAGACTAATGCTGTGAGTGATCATTTAATGTAATAATATAATAGATCTGCAATGAATACTACTGTTATGAAACTTTTTTTGTTGATACTGTGTTAAAGATTTGAATTAGTTTTTAGTTTTTGGTTTAGCTCTATTGGATTTCATCATATAGTCAGGTATCTGTCTTATCTTAACAAACTCTCTGAATGTACAAACTGTTAGTTAGCAATTTGTCTATGTACCAGAAAACCCATTTAACTAATATAATGCTCCTTTGTCCCATTCTTCCTCAGCGGATAACGATTACCGTCAGCAGGCTCCTGTCCTTCTGGATTCAGAGACCCACGGCATAGAGGATGTAGCTATATTTGCCAAAGGTCCCATGTCACACCTTTTCCACGGGGTCCAGGAGCAGAGCTACATTGCCCACGTCATGTCTTATGCTGCCTGCCTGGAGCCCTATGAGGACTGCACACTGCCAGAGCCCGACCATGCTGGATCCATCCATCCCAGCCTGCTACTCCTCCTGATGGGCCTCCTTCTTCTCTCCCTCTGCTCTGTCTGAGATGACAGCCTTTGGAGAATTTGCCTTGACTTGGGAATAACTGCGTTATCTGACATTTTGGTCGAAAAAGAAATCATTTTTCACACTTTCTGTGTGGAATTGGAGAGCTGTAGTCGCACAACTTTGAGATCGCTGCAATTTTGAGTAATTTCTTCTTGTCAAGAGAACCTTGTTGTGAAAAGCATTAGTGTTAATATTACACAGAGCTATGGCCTTTAACACAAAATTGAGTATATTTATGTAAAAATATTGTTGAGTTCTTTTTTAAATATTTTGAATAAAGCTGGCATGATATATATAAAAAAAGCTAATTGCCTAACACTCTTTTTTTCAAGCTTTCATGGGCTCTATCACTTTATGCATAAGAAGACTGTACTTTAGGCACAGATGTAAGTTTGGTACCAATAGTCCAACAGTGAATACCTCTCAGCCAAACAAATTTTTTTATTTATTTTTCTTCATCTTTTTCAAGCCTCTCGTAACCTTTTTACTCACTCACATTCCCACTTTATTTTCATTTTTTCATGTAAGAGCTTAGTGAGCACATCCTTGTCCTACATCCCAGTCCCTCTCATCCCAATAACCCTACTTGAAAGTTTATTCAGGCCTCTTTACACATAACCAAAATGCTTGTTGTGAAACGGTAGTACTACACATTTGATTTTCTGTCACCCTCTGTTGCTATTATGCTAATTGCATGTTTCAGTCAGTATCTTGTTACCGAAAAATTTTATACAAAATATGCAATGAAAACACAAGACACAAAATGTATTGTGGGAAAACAAGTTTTACTTTTCTTACTAAAACTATTTAAATTAAAATAAACATAGCAACGCCCAGCAGATACAGTATTTCATTGCAGGATCCACGTTTCAAAAACTTAATTTAATGCAAAAAGCATGGATCTCTTAAAACCTACCACTGTTGTGCTCTAAAACAAGAGCATGATTTATAACTAAATTAGGCCATATCTTAAATCAAGTTTTTGAAAATGGTGCATTAAACCCATTGTAGTAAAGTCAGACAATGATTGTTAATAGCGGAATCATTCTGTAACAGAAAGGTAAAGAGCTGATCCACAGCTCTGATATTGAACATGGACCCCCGCTTTCCATTGAGGTCTCACCTGATTGGGTGCCATGAAAGCATCCACCAGTCACAGACAGCTATGGGCGGGACTTCCGCCTGCTGCCAGCATTGTGTGTTTGGAGGGAAATTCAATCAAAATAGTCGTGCAGCTGCTCGAAACCTAGGAATACGTGGATAAACAATACACATCTTCAAGTATTTAAGGGACTAAACTAAGGTTAACGCACATTGACTGTTGGCTGTATATAAAACTTAATTACTGCGCAGCTTTCTGCAGCTTTAATCTCGCTGTTAGCTTAGCTAGCTGGACTCCATTAAAAGCTCTCCATAGCTTTGATGCTTGGATTTGGGCTATGGGCTAATTCAGAAAGATGCTGAGGGATACTTTGTGAACGGATAACGTTGATCATGGATCATGGAAAGACGACGAGGCTCGAAGGTCAGCTTTGTAAAGCTGTGAACGACGGAGAACCCAGGTGATGCTCAGCCCCCTGTCTCTGTGCTTTGTCCGGACATGCCTCTTCAGATCAGATGCGACAGACTTACATTTGTGTGTATGTAGCTATCGTTAGCCACCTTGTACGATCTAAAGTTATGCCAGTAACTAAATATATAGTATAATATAATATAATAGTAGTTTTGTTCCAGTCCTTTCTTAATTGTAATCACTTCCTTTTGGACTTGTTTGTTGCCTCTGTACCACAGAGCTTTACATCAAATGTGTGATGATCATTTAGCACTGTTTGAGAAAACAGCCATCAGCGTTAGGGCTCTGTTTGTGACCACTGTTTCGCTTTAATAGTGCAGTTTGTGTAAAATATATCACCTCACCATGATCTTGCAGTTTTCTTTACTCTTTGCCGTACAAGTGTTGACTAAAAATACAGATTTATCATCTACAAAGTAACTTACAGATAGACAAGGGGACTCTGCATACAGTACAGTAAGTGAGTAAGTAAGTCAAACTTTATTTGTGTAGCACCTTTTTGACACAGAGATCCAAAGTGCTTTCCAAAC